ACAAACACCAGTCGGCTCTCCAAAAGGAGCGGGACTCTAGTACCAGATGTGACAGATGTTGAAGGCGGCTTTAGACTTTTACTCTGAGCCCAGAGAGTGATAAATGGCTCTGTCTCTGGAGGGATGGAGACAGGAGAGGCCGGCTTTTGTCCTCCGCCGTTAGCCGCATGCTAACGCTACGCGTACAGATTTACGACTCGAGACCAAACGGTGAGGGGAAGAGGACCAACAACCTGCTCTCAGGCTCCATCTTCCATCATTTCTCCTTTCGCCAGAGATGGAAGATTTGTGCCACAAATCCTGTATCAATCAGCAAGGAGCTTAGCGGTGTTGCTAACTGGACTTTTTCCCTTTCCCATAGGACTGTGCTTTCTTTTCCCTCTCCTCGCTCCTTCTATCACTTCCTGTAGATTTTCCTGGAGCTGTGGAGTCTGGATCTGTGGTTGGGAGTCTTCCTGTTTTCCTACAATTACAATTACAGCCACTGTTCGTAGTCTTATCTCTATTATTACTGCTATCATTATCATTAGTATCAATATCTTTGCCGTTTTTTATCCAGTTAATGTGTTACTGTGTAGGCTCCCTCTGTCCTTCTCTTTCTCTCTCTCTCTCTCTCTCTCTCTCTTGACCTCTCTGTCTCTCGCCTGTCATAGAAAGAACATTTAAAGCTGTTTTTTTAACAGAAAAAGTTCTACTTTAGTCACGTCTGAGTCAGAAAATGGGCCGAAACGCTCTCAAAATGACTGCCGACACACACATGCCCGGCAGGGAAAGCAGAAACTCGGCATTTCTGGCTTTTAATATTTAAGTGCAGAGCCAGAGCTGCTCTTTCAGAGCTTCAGCTGGGTCACACACACACACACACACACACACACACACACACACACACACACACACACACACACACGTACGTGTGCATGTGGATGAACACATAAGTTTCTGCTCTGCTGATCAGAGGAAACTGGATCAGAGTATCTTCCTCTGCTAAAGTTCACCCCCCTCCCTCATGCATATTCATGCCCTGTGAATGTGTGTCAGTGTGTGTGTGTCAGTGTGTGTGTGTCAGTGTGTGTGTGTCAGTGGGACTTTAACCCCCCCCCCCCCACTCCCAAAACTCCCCCGGGGCCCGTCCGTAAAGAGTCGGGTAATTTCTGGGAGCTAATAACCCCCCTTGTTTTGCTTCTGCCTAATATTTGAGAAGATAAGATGAGCATAGAGATATCAAACAGGGTTGGAGTCTCAAACAGGAAGCTGCAAAAAGTTGCAAAAAGCTGCAAAAAACTAGAACTATCATTTCCAGGTCAAAGGTCAGCGTCTCATCTGCATACGGGTGGTCCGCCCTGGTCATTATTCCAGCCACACCTCCATTTTTCTGATCAATATTTCAGAGTATCTTCAGAAAAACTGCAAATGAGCCGTAGGCTCTGTTAGCTCTGTTACCTTTTTAGCTTTGTAAGCTTTGTTAGCTTTGT